TGGTTTGTGGTAAACTGTTAGCGTCCCTAATAACCTCCCATAATTATGAAGGTTACCTGTGAGTTGTGTGTGGCCACGGAATGGATTCTTGAACCCAGCAGATAACTAGAGTGGCACGGGGGAGGGGTGGTTAGTGTCAGAAGACGGAGAGAGAGAGATGGAGAGTGGAAGCTTAGCGGACCTCTGCCCACAGGCTATCAGCCCTGGGCCAGTGTGGACATGGATTTTCCTCCTCCCTACTCAACCTGGATGATCAGGTTTGTTTCACAGGTTTTAAAATCATATATACATGATAAATATTTGTATGATTAAAATAGATTTCTCATATATAATTTACAAACCTTTCTCAAATAAGCCAATTTAAATAGTTGATTTATCATCCATAGCAGTGGTTCTCAACCTTCCTCATGCCGTGACCCTTTCACACAGTTCCTCCTCATGCGGCGGTGACCCCCCAAGCATAAAATTATTTTTGTTGCTACTTCATAACTGTCATTTTGCTCCTGTTATGAATTGGGTGACCCCTGTGAAAGGGTCATTTGACCCCCAAAGGGGTCACGGCCCCTTGAGAACCGCTGATCTATATGATTTAAATAGAAATCATATATACAACTCAAATAATGAATCATACACATATGATACAACAGGCTCTGTGAATCAGTATCTTTAAAAGCTTGATGTGTTTGTAGCATCAACCAGGTCTCAAGAGCGTATTTAACATGCCTCTATCTTTTAATGCATTTGTTTAGATTTATAGAACCAATCTGCTGACTTTTCACGTGTTCTGTTTCATCGCAGAACCAGGAACCAATGAAGGAGTTCCCCTTTGTTTTTGTTTTGTTTTGTTTTTTATTGGGGCTCATACAATTCATCACAATACATAGATCAATTGTGTAAAGCACATCTATACATTCCCCTTTGTTTTTTAACATGTCTTTTTCATATCAGGATGCAAGGAGATTCCCTGCAAAGCTAGATAGGAGACTGAGGTTGAGAGATTGGACTCCACTAGAAATGTGGATGCTTAGAAACAATACAAGCCAAGCTTCCTGGTTCGGTGTACATCCTATTAGTGTGCAAGTCACAAATGGTTGCCAACCAGTCAGCCAGGCCGGCCTTAACCCCAGATTAATATTCATCAGGTGGCTTTGTAAACCAAGACGCCTTCAAGAAGCTAATTTCCCGGGAGTCAGAAGTCAGATAAAGTAACTTCAAGCACAAGACACTTCGGAGACTAGAATGCTCACATGTACGAGAAGGCAGAGGGAAGTCTTGGCATCATTTGGAACAACGATCGCATTCAGAGGCAGTCTGGCTTGGGACAGGAGCACACAGAAAGGAGCAGACAGACTCCATGAACAAGCCATACTTTACTGTTCCCGGAACTTCACTGTCATGATTCCGCTTTGCTTTGATACCCGAAGCTTCCTATGAAGCAGCTCTACAGGAACCTGTTCTGTACACCCTATTCAGGGCTTCAGCTCTTTGTCCTCAATTTCGTCACAGATGATCTGTATAAAGGATGCATTAAATGCGCCCCCCCCCTCCAATTCTCACTGGCATACTCAGTCCAATTTCTTATGTCACGGTTCAAAAACACGGCAAGTTGCCCCGTCTGTAATTTTTCACACCCAAACCAAACTCACTGACTCATAGCAACCCTGTAGGACAGAGCAGAATGGCCCATGGCTTTCCCGGATGGGAACTCATAACAGGGTAGAAGGCCCAGTCTTTTTCCAAAGGTGGTTTCAAACTGCTGACCCTGCAGATCACAGCCCAGTAGGTAAGCACGACCCGGAGGCGGCCAGATGAGGAAAGGTACCACACGGAGCCACAGGTGTGAATAAAAACGTGCCTGGCTCTTTATGCAAAAGCAACCTCTCTGCTACCTAACACAACCATGTGTTTTCCCCACAATGGCCAAGAGCTTAAGGTGCTCAAAATAATATTACTCTCTCTCAATCCAGGCAGGCACATAAGGGGGATTCTGATAAGTTCGTGGGGATATTCCATTTGTCCGCTTTTTGAAGCTTCTCATATATGTTCGACACTTACCAAATATTTCATGATAAATATCAATGAAGATCCTTCCCCCCCCCCAAAGCTGTGGAAATATTAAAATATAGAGTTGCTTACACATTTAGGCTGACGTGATAGGAAATATCTGCCCATCTGAGGATGCTTACTTCTGCATGATGAATCCATGACTGCGTTAACATGATGTGCTAACACTGACTCTTCCTCTCTATTTCCCATGCCTTATTTCACTCTGTCCTTTTAAATCTCCTATCTAGTTTATCTGCTTCTTTTACAATCTTTTCTGGTGCAGAACAAAGCCACCATTGCTTAAGCAGGCATAGGAGTTCAAAGCTCATAAACTCTCTGATGACTGCTAAGCATTCTTATTTGTCTTTTCTTTGGACTACAACTCTCCTGAGAAAACGATGTTGCACTGTGCGTGCACATGCGCTCTTCCATGGGAGACTTCAGAAAGCTTGAGAAATTTCATTTTTTATAGCAAAGTTTTTGACAACCCTGTTAAGTAAACTGATTTTGAAGACAGAATGTATAGTATTGTTTGGCTATAAATAATTTTATATGGCAGGCATTTAACTTTCTCTCAAGAATTGTTTTAAAGGTCCTGATCCTTGGCTCTGACTTATGGTTCTTGCATATTAAATAATAATGATAATTCTAAGAGGAATAGGGGATAACTGCATTCAAAAGGCCTGATTAGAATACCCATTAGATTTGCCTACCCAGAAAAACAACTTTTCACGTTTTATCTCAATTTTGTTTTTCTTGCCATCATCACCCTGAGCATCAACATGTTTTCCTCTGTCCTACCACTCTGTCCTACAAGGAGATGTGCACATCTGCACTGCTACAATCCCCCAGCAAATTTTGCTCATGGCACCAACCGTGCCAAACGGCCTCAAGAGACGATGAGCATCTATTTCTGATATTGAATTATGTAGTGGGTAACCAATCCCATTCCACATTCCTCCCCCTATTCAGTTCAGACCCCAATGCCCACACTTACTTCTCTTTCTCCAGCCACCCAGAGCTGGGTCAGTGGGCACCAGCTGCAAGCTCAGGAGGTGCACAGGACTCTCCGCTAGGGCAGACCGAAAACACAAGAATCCCACTTTCTGCCATCTAGTCCATGCCTTGTCACAGTGACCCAATGGGACAGAGCAGAGCGTCCCCATAAGGTCTCCAAGACTGTGGTCTCCATGCAACTAGAATTCCACATCTTTTCCACATGGAGTGGCTGGAGAGTCCAACCTGCAGACCTTTCCAAGAGCACTTCAGACTAGACAACCCCACACCTGGAGTTTTCTTCTCTACCCTCGGGGTTCTAGTCCACGTGACTCCTACTTCAAGCCAGCCATCGAACCCTCTGCTCTTCGGATACCAACAATTCATCTAAAGAACTCACAGAACTGAGAGACATCACGCTTTCAAGGACAACCTGATAGAACAAACAGGACACCAATCAAACCAGTCCTACAGTGAGGTCTGCTAAGGCTCACAGCAGGAAACTCTCAAACCTCAAACCCCAAAGAGGAACTCACTGCCCTCTCCCACACATGGTCACCAACTAACTGGTGGACTCCCAGACAGAGCCTCTATCAAGCTCATCTCATGGCCATGATCACACACGTCATGCCTGGAAGGAGGAGCCAGCATGGGTACCCAGAGGATCCCCCCCTCCCCCCGCACTCGTCAGCCCCTCATTCGGTAGCTTCGCTGGTGGGTCTGGCTCTCAAGCACCAAGACAGAAAGCCAAATAGCTTTCTGAAAGGCAAAATCCATACCAGACATTTCCATTCACAACCCCGGTCTCATATAGGTAGACCCTGTTTCTATCCGGATGAGGTCCCCTAAGGAAGCAGCAAGCTGAAGGAGTGTCCCAATCGGCGCTAATTCTGCCCATCACCGTGGTTCCTGTCTCCGTTTGTCAGTTCATTTGTATCTGGAGACTCACTGACTGGATCCATCAAAATGTTGCCCTCTGGCTTCCCTGACACCAGTTTTCTGCATGTCTCTAGAAAGTGCCTCTGGTCTTTCTTCCTGTGGCATCAGAATAAACTCACATGCACAGTCACGAGTCAATTCTGACTCAGGGAGACAGGTCATCTCTAAATCTTACCCTGAAACTTCTTCCCGCCCAGTATCAGTACATCTACAGCCCCAAGGGTGATCCACAAAAGAACCCCATCCCTTCTGAGCTGATGGCGCTCTACGTGCGATGACCGTATTGGTCTTCCCGGGTAACATAGCTTGACATTCCGTAGAGTGGCGTCATTTCTAAAATGGATGATTTTAACAAATGCAAGCTCAGGTTCTTGGAGGTGAATCCTGTGCCTTCAGGATGCCAAAGGCAGCACGGAACAACGGGGGCCTGAGATGAAGCAGAAATATATTCTTCTGACGACTAATTTCACTACTGAATGGAATTATTTTGGGATTTACGAACTAGAATGATCATGGGACTTAAACCGGCCCCCTGCTTCTTAGAAAGATTGCTTTGCTTTGAATCTCTTCCCAACCTATTCAGAGTAAAACAAGAAGCTAACGTGGGAACACGTTCACATATTTGTTAATGAGATAAAAATAGGTAGAAAAATACAAAATATATTTTTAGAAAGTTAAGAAGTTTCAGTAACGAAAATTTAGAAACAGATTGTGGTAGCAAGTGTACAATACTCCTTGGTGTGACTGAACTATGGAATTTGGTAGGATATCCGGATGACCTCCCAATAAAATGGATTCTTGGGGGGTGGGAGGAGGCAATTGAGACCAGGCAATATTCTTTCCCTATTTAGAAAGCTCAGAGAAGTCCTACTCAATCATTTCCAGCACACGAAACAAAAAGCCTCCACCACAATGCCCGATGACCATGACACAACGTCTTATGTAAACGCTGCGTTCTTTCGGAAGTGCCCTGTCTCGATCGATCGGTCATTCACTCGGGCAAACGGCGTGGGCGTTACCTTGCAAGTCTGAGTCATTCGACTTTGGGCTGCTTCTTGCTCGCCGCTCTGTTTTCTTAATTCCCGGCCCGCCACTGCTGCCGCCTCCCCCGCCTCCGCAGCCGCCACCACCGTGGCCCTTCCCGTGGCCATTGTACACTGACGTGCAGGTGCTTTTGTAGACAGAAGAAGGAGGGCTACTGAGGCGGTTCTGGCGGTCAATCTGGCGGTCTTTCAGTTTTTTGTGCGGAGGTTTGCTGCACTGGTCTTCCCGGGTAATGTAGCTTGACATTCCATAGAGTGGTATAATTTCTAAAATGGATGATCATGACAAACGCAAGCTCAGTCTACAGTCTCAACAATAAAGAAGACGCATACGGTCACATGCCCTGAACAAAGGAGGGAGGGGTTTATAGGAGTATACAAACACAGTGCAAAATGGCAACATACGTAAGTCTTGCTCAAGATACCTACTCATTTCGCATCGACCGAGGAATAATCAATTGCTACAAACTGAATCGGACTTTCTGAAATGTTCCAGAAAGCAAGGGTAAAAACTGGAGGAGACAAAGCGATTGTCCTTACATTGTTCTTAATTCGAGTAGATTTACATCTAAACTTGATTCTACCTATCAAAATGTTTTCAGGAGTTGCAATTTGAACCGTGCCACCCCCACCCCCCAAATAAAACAAAACCCCAAACCCTAGCCTCTTTAAACATACAAAGCATTTAAAAATCAAGATGCGTTAAGAAAGATTACAAACAGAACACTATGCCTATGAGAAAGGATGCATGCATCCAAATAGATGGGGTTACTTGTGGTCGCCAGAAGAGCCAGTACTTGTACAGCACTTACTAGAACAATGATGAGAATGATCGATTCTAACAACTCAGGGAGCTGTCCCAGGAACGCCTGCAGGGCAAAGCTACGGGGCCCAACAGTAAGCTACCGCCTCACACTTCTCTCTTGGAGCCATCATGAGGCAAAACAGACCAACTAGCAGAGTATCAGGTGGCTTTACACTGCATATTTCAAAGTGTTTGTTTAAATTAAAGCCTGAAAAATAATCTTAGGATACTGGCACAGGGCACTATCATTTCAAAATTTTAAATCAGTTAAAATCATCCCTAAGCATAATAATAAAATGGTAATAACCAATATAGATGTTGGATCCTTAGATTGTTATTTTTAAAAAAGAGAGAGTGATTCCCTTGCATGGGGCCCATCTAAAACCATAACATGTTAGAGGTGCAAAGGGGCGGGATGAAACATCTTTACGGGGTTGGAGAGACCCTGACACACCCAGGGACGCATGCTCACCCTGCATAATTTAACATGGGATATCTGAATTACTCAGTGGTAAAGCAATGCATTCTATGTTCTTATTCACACTTCTTAAAGAAGACCTTTCTATGAAATCCATTCCCCGCCCCCGTGAGAATGTGCAAAAACACCTTCTATTCCAACAAAATGTCCAAGTACATGATACCAAAATATACAAGGAGGTTTCAAAAAGTTTGTGGGGAAATTCCATTTTCCCCCCAGGAACTTTCTGAAGAAGTACCGCTTGTGCATGAAGCAGATTTGAGTTTTCAAATGATGATTGACAACACATTGTTGGCTTACCTGAAATTGCCAGGGGTACTATTCAGAAAATTGTGGCTAGTTGGGATACTATTAACATAGGCCAAGTCTGACACTCCTGAATAAAAGATACATAAATAGCCAATGTGTTCCCCAACAGCATCATAACTCAGATCCAGAAAACTCAGGCAAGCAATCAACTATTTAATGTAACTTGTGTCACACCACTGCTTACATATTTTAATTGCTCACTGATTTTTTTTGTTTTTATACAAATATTCTCATGGTATAGGCACACTATCTAATATTTATGGGTATTATATCATTAGGCAAAAGAGATCATCTTAATAAGTGAAGCCTCCACAAGTCATGAAATATTCATTTCATACTTTTGCTATTATCTCCCTGCACCCCAATATGATAACACCTGATTATTCTAAATTGTGCTACATCTCTTTCCAATTACTAAAAAAGTAACCGATGAAGTTCTGTAACTAGATTACAACAGAATACTGCCCCGGACATACTCATCTCAAAACTGTGCCTGTTGTTAATGTGATAGAGGGTGAGCTCAGCCGAAGGCATGCAGTGTGTGTGTGTGTGTGTGTGTGTGTGTGTGTGTGTGTGTGTGTTGAAGTTGGATAATAACTGTTCAACAATTCTACAACAGACCTTTCAAATAGAGAATATCTAAACAAACATAATAAATGTGCAAAGCAGAAAAATGTTTCACAGAAGCTGAGAAAAATTTGACTTTTCAAAATCCTATAGGGTAGCATTTAACTTTTAACTTCCTTTATTTGGTTTCTCCGTCTCCACTTGGATAGAGACAAGATTCAGACTGAACTAATTCCACAGGCAAGCTCAAAAGACATGAAATAAGTGGTTCCGCAGCTCTTTTCCCTTCTAGGTAAGTCTCTGCTTAATCACCAGTAAAACTGTGGCTGCCATAATGGCTATTGTTAAAACTAAATATGGGGTTCAGAAGGACCAAATCAACAGCGAGGGGATTCTGAGTTCTGCCAAGACTGCACCATGGAACATTCACATCCCCCAAAGGCTACTGAGATCTCCCAGCACGCTACTGGTGAAAACGAGGCACATGAGACGTTATACCTCCCTTATGCTGTTAGACCAGGTGGATGCCCAACATGAATATGCCAAGTTGGGTCTCAGGCTACTCTCATCAAAAAATGGTTACGAGACATGGTAACACATGACAGACCACCACCTATTCTCTATAATAAAGAAGGCTATTCCCTTCCTTGATGTTTGTGGGCTTTGGGTGGGGGTACAGAATCGAGACAATATGATAACGAGAGAAAAAGAGAGAGAGAGAGCAAGAGAGAGCGAGAGAGAGCTGGAACCCACAAAGTAATCTTAGAAGAGAGAATCAGACAGAGGAAGACCGGGGACTTCTCATGAGGATGTACCACATAGGCCCTTTCTGCCATGTTAGTACAGACAGACATGGGGAGCTCTCTCACACCCCTGCATGCTGTAATCACCTTCCATGGCTCCGAATGAAATCTCTACTCACCTTGCTCGCTGTAAATGGTGGGGGGCAGGTGATGCTGAGGAAAGAACTGAGGTGGCATATCTCCAGGTCCAGTCACGGGAGGGTAATAGGCGGTGTGTGAGTTATGAATAAAATGCGGGTGGTGAGTCATATAGGGGGGAAGGTGATGGGTTGGAGACATGGCGGAGGGGTAGCTCGGGGGGTAACACTCAGGAGACTGGGGTGTGACCACCACCCGGCGGACTCCAGTATTATCTTCAATCACCTAAAGAGAAGAGCAAAAGCAAAAGAGTGTAAGATATATTATCAGCAAGCATCCTGTGAAATGTATCATGTTAAAAAAATTCCTCCTGAACTTTCTTTTTTTCCCTCTGCCACAGAAAGGGGTCTTTTGGGTGTTGAGTTCCACATGCCTGATTTGCCAGCAGGGAGCCCGGGGACGTCAGGTTAAAGCACACTGAAGATGCGCAGTGCTAGCAACCCGACGGTACAATTCCACTCCATCCTACAGGGCCCTAGAGTGAGAATCCACCGAGGGTAAGAGGGTTCACAGTTAACTCAGCCAGCTCCACTCCTGTATGTAATAACATGTAATAGTAACATGTAGCCATGCAAATTTCAGACACAACGAAGTATTTGTCGACCAACAGCTACTTTATAACCACTTCCTAAAACCTTTTTGGAAATATTGAAAGTTGATGATCACTCTCAACATCCTTTGCTCATGGAAATTTCACCGGCTGCATCCAAGATAAGTAAATAGCATATGTGCTTAAACGAATTTTGGGGATCACTTTAAAAATTCATGATTGGCTCACTAGTGATCTGGAAAGCAGTGATGTTCGAGTTTCTGGATCTGAGTAGGAGACAAAACCCCGCCCCTTCTGGTGCCGGCACACATGCCTCCATCAGCACAAGAACTTTAGGGACGACGAGAACATTAGCACCAGAAGCTACTCACATGGCTTAAGTGTCATTTCCTCGGGGGCTGGGAATGTACATGAAAATGAGGCGATTGGGGCCAATGCTACGCTTGGGCAATCTTAAATCAGAATGGAGCTCTTTGCTTTCAAGATGTCCTTTGTGATCGTGTGCAGGGTGGAGGGGGCACAATTTGGGTGCCCCTAGGGTGCCCAAGTTGCTGTTTTGTTGTGGCACGAATTGAAGAATGTAGAATTTTGGAGGGTAGGGTTAGGGAAGCAAAAGACCATCTTGGGCAGTACAGAGAGCGAGATGAAGAAAATGTCCAGAAGGACGGGGTTCACATTTTGATGGTTTTGTTGATAGCGGTTTCTCTCACTTTGAAGCAATACTTTTGGATTGACCCTCATAGATCGAATAACATCTGAAAGACAGTCAAGGAACAGCCAGCCGAGTAAAGGGACAAAGTAGGATAGTGGGCACACTGAGGGGCTGTAATGAAAGAATGGAAACAAAACGCGTGTGCACTGTTACACAGACAACTGATGATGCAAGTCAGGAGTCCTCAAACTTCTTAAACAGGGGCCCAGTTCACTGTCCCTCAGACCCGTTAGAGGGTCGGATCATGGTTAAAAAAAACCCAACTATGAACAAATTCCTATGCACACTGCACATATCCTATTTTGAAGTTAAAAAGCAAACGGGGCAAAAACACCCGACGGGCCAGATCCAGGCAGTAGTCTGAGGACGCTTGATGTAAGTGAATGGAAAATGGCTCAGTAAACCATCTAATTTACAAGTAAAAAAGAAAAAGATCAAAGAGGAAGCCGTGCTCCCTACCCTTAGAAGGACCCCTTGTAGAATAAGCCCAAATATAAAACTAAACTGCATATCCTTAAAAAAAACCCAAAAAAACCCTATTAGACTGGTTGAGACTGGATGGCTCCCAACACCATGGCACTGAGACAGTCTTCTGAGCCTCACTGGAGTTAGCCCTTGAGGTCCCCAATGAGTATCACAGTAAGTTCATTTAAGATACTGCCCACGAGAACAGTCAACAAGTACTTTAAAATAAAGGGGTTTGCATGTATGCGTCTGCTTCGGAGGGGGCAGAGAAATGAGATTAATATAAATAGAACTCAAAATATAAAGAGCATGTTCATGTACTGTGCAAAATGTAACCAATGCATATAAATCAATGAGTGGAAATCTACTGTCTAAGCCTTTACCAAAACAGTATTATCATCATCATCATTATTTTAAAGGACAATAGTTGGAGATGGCAGCTATAAGAGCAACCCTGGGGGAGAGATAAAAAGGACCCCCTGGTCTACCAGCTGGTATGCATGGATTATCACATTGCCTTTCCTTCGACAGTTGGGAAGTGATGCGAGCACCCCTGGGTTCTTTGAAAGGAGCCCTAGTCCTGCTGCCTGGTAAGCCTGGACCTGTGAATTACAGAACTGGGGTGGGACTGGCGGGCTGTTCAAACCCACAGCCACTCTGTGAGAGAAAGATGAGGCTGCCTGCTCCGAGAAGATTCACAGCCTCGGACAGCCACGAAAGAATGCAATCATTCTGAATCGCCCCGAGGACAGTGGGTTCGGGCTCCTATGAAGGAAACCAGCCACAGTGTGGCTGCGTTACAGTTAAGTGGCACAGCTGTGGTCTTCAATACTGGCCTACCTTCTAAGTTTCACTATGTGGAGAATTACATGGAGGTTAGGGTTAGGAAACAAACGTAGAAACCACAAACACGAGCAGGGCTAGTAAGAGAAGTGATAGAAGCCAGGGTACACTCAACATTTCCTGAGTACCTGCTTCGATATCATCTCTCAGAGAAGGCCAACACAAATTAAGTTCCGGGAAGAATCTGACACGTCGTCCCTGACACGTAGTACCAAAATCTTACTCGCACACACTCCTGTTATCATGGGTTCACCTTGTGAAACCGCCCAACTACGCTGTGTTGCATACACAGGTATTCAGAGAGAGAGAGGAGGGACAAAGTCGTCAAAGTTAAACTAGTCTACCCAAAGCTAGAGCCAGTACGAGGGGGTGTTGAGGGTGAGGGGTGGGTGGGGCAGACGGACTCTAAGTTTAAGAATGAAAACACAGCTCATAAAAAAAAATTCCTATTTTGAGTGGTTTTCCTCTTAGTCAACAACGAAGAAAGACAGTCCAGTCCCCTGTACTGAACTGAAATGCTCCACAAGAATTTTCAATAAAAGTTCTCAGCTCCTGAAAATCTTTCCTTAAACCCTATTGAGCTGTGAGCCACATGAATCAAAAGAGGAACTTCAACGACGAGACAAAGGAAAACTGAGAGAGATCTGCGGCGGACGGGCAGGGACGATCCAGGAAGCGGCAGTGCTGACTGTGCACAGGGACACACGGGAGCCCCCATCCATGTCCTCCAAAGGGAATGCTTGGCGGTCGGCTTGCTGCGGTGACCAACACTGAGAGAGCTGGCTACACAGAGGACCAGGACCAACCGAGTTTGTGCCAGTCCGGCTCAAGTTCAATTGTCTCACTGCTGCCACAATGGGTGACGTGGGCTCCTAGGGCATTCTGGGAAGGGAAAAAGTCCTGGGGGAAAACGGATCCCACACGAAGTGAACAGGAGAGAAACTGGCCAAATAAACAACTAAAGAAGGAATGGGGAGGCAACGAGCTCAGGTTGCTCAGACCCAGGTGGGTGGGTCGCTCTTCTACTTTAGACCGCAATCCTAAGGCTGGGGTCACAGACCCCCCTCACCACCCCACCGCAGGTCCCTCCCTCCAGGGCAGCCGGCACCTGGCAGACACTTGGCAGATGCTGGGGAATGAATCTATGAATGGAGATGTGGCGAGGAGGAGGGAAAGGAGATGAAGAAAGCTTACATGATGTCTGCTAAGAATATTCATGCACTCACTATCAAACCGTTTCCCCCCCCAACTCAGGCAAATACCTGACATCTGAGTCTAAGTTTTCAGACATGTGGAATCCAATTAATTCTCTACCTTCTTCTTTTAAATAGTTGTGGTTTTACCGCAAGAGTTTTTTAAAGACAGACCATGCAAATGGAAGTCGACTTTTTTTTCTACTTCAATCCGAATGAAACTGAGAGGCTGGAATGCTTTCCTCGGCAGCCAGTGATTACATAAGCACTCGCTTTCCCTTTCTGGACGATCTCCTCCTCCCGGCGGCACTGCCTACACTACGAAACAAAACTGGGAGAACGGGTGTGGTCTATGCACAGGCTACAGGTTTGAAACACAACAAGGGCGCCTCCCCTATTGGATCGCTTTTCTGCTATGATGGATGAAGGTCACACTACCATCACCATCACCCAAGGAGGAAGCAGAACTAGGAATCAAGGTTGAGTACAAGAGTAGCGGAAGAGCCACAGGAGCCGCTGCTCACACGTTCTATTTCACGGATGAAGTTAGGCTACTGGACTGCACCACGGGGGCTAGCCTGCACACATCACACCCGAAGCTCCTTGCTTTTCTGTCGTTTCAATTAAATGATCAACGTTGTGAATGAACACCCCAACACGAACTTAGCAGCCTCGTTTCTTATTCTATCTGTAATGGCTGGCAGCTTTTCTCGCTGGTATTTCCCGATCATCAACACCCCAACACAGCACACCGTTCTACAGTCAGGGCCTGGTAGGGTCTTTTGCCATATAATGTGGTTATTTCTGTGCTCAACTAGAAAAATAAATAAGCGGTGTTTTTAAGCTTCTAAATGCCTGTTATTTAACATCAAAAGGGTTATAAGGAACAGAAGTTATAACTTGGCTCCATGATAGATATACTTTTTCCTGCATTAAGAAAAAGAAACTCCTTGGAAATTCCCATTGCTTTCCTCACAGTTCTTGCCAGTCCTTAAACCCGACCACAGAACTCCACCTGCTTTGTAGGTAACCAAAGCAACACCCCAGGTAAAAGGGGGATGCTCACACTTTTTACCTGCACAATCACCTATACCAGTGGTTCTCCACCTGTAGGTTGCAACCCCTTTGGGGGTCAAACAACCCTTTCACAGGGGTTGTCAGATTCATAACAGTAGCAAAATGACAGTGATGAAGTAGCAACGAAAATAATTGTACGGTGGGGGGGGGGGTCACCACAACATTAGGAACTGCATGAAAGGGTCGTGGCGGCATGAGGAAGGTTGAGAACCACTGACCTATACCAAAAAAAACCAAAACCCTAAAAATGTCCCTCAGCGCTGAATTTGAACCCAGAGGCTGACCCTAGGCAATGAGTAAGACACAATTGGACAGGAGATCCACATCACACATCTGATACTGCTGTGTCGGAGGAACGTGTTATTAATGGTGAGGAGGCACTAGT